GTCTTAGGAACCTTAGAGCCTCTTCTCATGTTCCTAGGCTTTAATATCCATGTCCATACGTCGAACCATTAGAGATGGCGAACTCGAATAGCCTAAATGGGCCCAACCAAACCCTTAAGGATTACTTCACACATACAGCATATACATCACCATCATGCATTCAATTACCCAACACCACCACTGCTCATTATGAGATTAAGTCTAGCACCATCCAAATGCTCTCATCATTCCATGGACTAGTTCATGATGACCCTTACAAACATCTACATAAATTTCTGGAAATTTGTTTTACTGTGAGGATCTAGAATTTCACAAATTAGGCCTTAATGTTGCGACTATTTCCATTTTCACTAAAGGACAAAGCCAAACATTGGTTGAACTCCTTACCTGCTAATTCTATCACAACATGGGACCAATTACAGCAAAAGTTTTTGGAGAAGTACTTTCTCATAAGATCAACCAACTTAAGCGAGCCATCACCAATTTTACTCAAATTGATGGCGAGCAATTTCATGAAACATGGGAAAGACTTTGTGACCTTCTTCAATAGTGTCCTCACCACCAAGTGCCTAATTGGCAACTTGTTCAAACCTTTTACTATGGCTTAACTGAGCCTCACGACCAAATAGTGGATTCTTCCTATAGTGGGACATTCATGTCCAAAAACGACGTCGAGGCATGGCAATTATTTGAGAACTTAAGCGATAATTCTCTTCACCATGCCTCTGCAGCCCAACATGTCCGGTAATCGGTAGTTGGAGTCTCAAAAAGATGGGGCATTTATGAGGTAGGGCAAAACCTAGAGTTAGCCCAACAAGAAGAGGCATTGTCCCACAAAATGGACCAATTATTAGCTTCGGGACATGCCCTTAGACAGCAAGATCAGCCTCAATTTCACGAGGCATGTACTATTTGTGCAAGCCCTACTTATGACTTGAGTGAGTGCCCTTCGGCATCACAATTTCTAGAATTAGTCCAAGAGCATGTGAATGCAGCTCAAGGATTCTCCAATTCGGGTAATGACCCATATTCCAACACATATACTCTGGGATGGAGAAATCACCCTAATTTTTCATGGAGACCGTCTTCACAAGGCACTTCTTACAATCCTCTACCACCAAGGCAGAATTTTACTAATTTTGCCAACTAATCTTCTTACCGACCACCACAACCTTACCGGTAACCATAACCCCTGCTTGATCCTCAAGGCAACTCAGCCTTTGAGACTCAGGTGTTGGAAGTTCTCTCAGAACTTAAGGGGTTAATACCAATAATTCACTCCCATACTCACTCCATTGCCAAGCTAAAGGCCCAATTAGGTCAAATGGCTAACAACAATAATAGAAGAGATGAGGGAAAATTACTAAGTCAGACTGTGGCCAACTCTAAAGGTCAATATGGGGCAGAGGAGTTAAGTGGGAATGGAAAGTACCATGAACAGGTGCAAGCGGTGATCACTTTGAGAAGTGTGAGGGAGTTAGAGCCTCGGCCAATTACGTCTGATGTAACTAGGGCTAAAAAAGGTGACTACAGTGGTAAACCCATTGAGAGCAAGGGTGAGGGAGAAACACCTAAAGGGGATGACTTAGTCCCTAGTACTTCACAAGAGTCTAAGGAACCATATGTGCCTAAGGCACCCTTTCTCCAATGCCTTGATACACCGTCCCCTTTTAATAACAAGGCGACATCCATGGAAGCAATGATGGAGGTGTTTAAACAAGTTAAAATCAACCTCCCCCTGTGCGATTAAGTAAGTACCCTCCTATGCTAAATTTTTTAAGGACCTTTGTACGCAAAAGCGTAAATCTAGGACACATGTGTCCCAAAAGGTCATATTTACGAAGCAAGTAAGCTCCATCTTATTGAGTGACACACCCCTAAGCTTAAAGACCCAGGCGCCCCAACCATTGCATGCATTATAGAGAACCATTTTATTGATAGGGCCTTGTTAGATTTAGAGGCTAGTGTCAATTTGTTGCTATACTCTGTGCAAGGAATTCAAGCTTAGAGACTTGAAGCCCACTACTGTCACACTCCAGTTGGCATGATTGAGGATGTGCTAGTAAAGGTCGATAGGTTTTGTTTTCCTGTTGACTTTTTGGTTTTAGATATGGAACCGGTGGCTAGCTCTAGGAACCAAATCCCGATGATCTTAGGATGACCTTTCTTGGCTACGGTTAATGCATGTATTAATTGTCGTACCGAGGTTATGGATGTTTCATTTGGGAATATACAAGTGAAACTCAATATTTTCCAAGTATCCCAACAACCCTATGAGAGAAATGAGTGCTTATTTGTGGATATTGTGAAGGAGATGGTAGAGGAGACTTTGCCCTCCATTCTTGTAGAGGACCCTTTAGAGGCTTGTTTAGTTCATTTTGGGTTTGAGGATTTTAATATTGACAGGTCAGTTGAGGAAGTAAATGCTTTACTTGATTCTTCTCCTACACTGGATTTTCCTCTTTGGAAAGCCCAATTTGAGCCCCTTCTTCATCTGTCTAGGGAGCCTGTCATACCATCTTTAGTCACACCACCTATGCTTGAGTTAAAGCCGCTCCCGGCCACACTCAAGAATTCATTTTTAGGGCCTCAAGATACTTTACCGGTCATAATTGCATCTGACTTAACTGTAGAGCAGGAAAGTCAATTAATAAGTGTTCTCGTGGTACATCGGAGTGCTATTGGTGGTTGGTGGCTGATTTGAGAGGGATAGATCCCTCCGTGTGCATGCATTATATACATCTAGAGGAGGACACCAAACTTTCTCGTGAAATGCAACAGAGGCTTAATCCCAATATAAAAGAGGTAGTGAAAAATGAGGTGTTGAAATTGTTAGATACGGGTATTATATACCCCATCTCAGATAGCAAGTGGGTGAGTCCCACACAAGTGGTGTCCAAGAAATTGGGCATCATTATTGTTGAGATGAGCAAGGAGAGTTGGTTCCTACACGAACCACTACAGGGTGGCGAGTGTGCATTGATTATAGGAGACTAAATTTCATGACTAGAAAGAATCATTTTCCATTACCATTTATTGATCAAATTCTTGAAAGGTTAGCGGGGCAGGGTTTTTATTGTTTTCTTGATGGTTATTCAGGGTATAATCAAGTTTTGGTGTATCCTGCTGACCAAGAAAAGACCACATTCACTTGTTTTTTTTGGCACTTTTGCTTATAGGCACATACCATTTGGGCTATACAATGCATCGGCGACTTTTCAACGGTGTATGATTGTCATTTTCTCCGATATGGTGGAGAGATTTTTAGAGGTTTTCATGGATGATTTTTTGGTGTTTGGACTGTCTTTTGAGGAATGCCTTAGAAATTCGACTAGAGTGTTGGAACGATGTATTGGGGTGAACCTGATTAGTGTTGGGACACATTGTGTCCCCTTGAGGTATAAAGGTAGATAAAGTTAAGGTTGACCTCATTGCAGGCCTTTCTCCACCCATTTCGGTGCGTCAAGTTAGGTCTTTCCTAGGACATGCAGGTTTTTACCATCAATTCATCAAAGATTTTAGCAACATATCCCGTCCTTTGTGTAGTTTACTTGCTAAGGACGCACCTTAAAGCTTTCAAAACACTTCGAGCGACCATTTCTACTGCCCCTATCATGCAATCTCCTGAGTGGTCCTTTCCTTTCGAAATCATGTGTGATGCATCTGATTATGCCCTCGGCGCTGTCTTAGGCCAAAGGGTGAATAAAGTGCCCCATGTTATATCCTACGTTAATCGTACTCTTTCTAATGCTCAATTAAATAACATTACCACTGAGAAAGAGATACTAGTTGTTGTCTTTACACTTGACAAGTTCCAGTCCTACCTTTTAGGGTCTAAAGTTATTATGTTCATTGACCATGCCGCTTTGCGATACTTATTGTCCAAAATAGAGACCAAACCTAGGTTCATTAGGTAGATTCTACTCCTTCAGGAGTTTTACCTAGAAATCCAGGACAAGAAGGGATCTAAGAATGTCGTTGTGGATCATCTATCATGAATCCTTATTCAGCACACGAGTGATCCCTTAGCTTTGTACAACTCGTTTCTGGATGAGCAACTTTTTGCGATATCACAAGTGATCCTCTCGTGGTTTGCTCACATAGTGAATTACTTGGCGGTTGGTCAAATTTCTAAACCTTGGTCTAAGCAAGACAAAGACCGATTTTTCTCACAATTCAAGCACTATTTCTGGGAAAACCTTGAATTGTTCAAATATTGTCCATATCAAGTGATTCAGCGTTGCGTGCCTCAGAGTGAAACCCATAGCATTCTCATCTTTTGTCACTCTCATGCATGTGGCGACCATTTCAGTGGGCAGAAAACGGCCACCAAGGTTTTATAATATGGGTTTTACTTGCCCTCTATCTTCAAAGATGCCCATAACTTTTGTAGAGCTTGTGTGCATTGTCAACGCATAGGCTCTATGTCACGATGAGATATGATGCCGATGACCCCTATTTTGATTGTTGAGATTTTTGATGTTTGGGGCATTGACTTCATGGGTCCCTTTCCACCATCTTTTGGATTTGAATACATTTTGGTGGCTGTGGATTATGTCTCCAAGTGGGTAAAGGAAGTGGCCACCAAAACGAATGACCACAAAGTTGTGGTTAAATTCCTCCATGAAACAATTTTTTGTCGTTTTGGGTTCCCACATGCCATAATTAGTAACGGTGACAAACATTTTTGCAATCGATTCTTCAAAGCATTGGTGCACAAATACATGATCACTCACAAAGTTGGCACTCCCTATCATCCCTAGACTAGTGGTCAAATAGAGGTTTCTAATAGGGAGGTTAAACACATCCTCGAGAAAACTGTGAGGCCCAATAGGAAAGATTAGTCCACTAGGTTGGTTAATGCACTTTGGGCCTAACGCACTGCATATAAGACACCCATTGGGATGTCTCCATATAGGATTGTATTCGAGAAAGCGTGCCATCTCCCCGTTTAGTTAGAACATCGAGCTTTGTGGGCCATTAAGAAGTTCAATTTTGATATGGCCAAAGCCAGTAATCATCGGAAACTCGAACTTAATGAGTTAGAGGAGCTCCTTAATGATGCATATGAGAGCTCCAAAATTTATAAGGCTAGGATTAAGGCATTTCACGATAAACACATTTCTCATAAGTCCGAGCCTCACCAAAAAGTGTGGTTGTTCAACGCTAAATTGCAGTTGTTCCCGGGTAAACTCTGGTCTCGGTGGGATGTCCCATATGAGGTTATTGAAGTCTTTCCACATGGGACAGTTGAGATTAAAAATCCACAAGATGGTACGACCTTCAAGGTCAATGGCCAACAATTGAACCATTATGTGGATGGTATTGAGAAAGGGGAGATGATTGAGGTTGTCCACTTGACGGACCCAATATATCTTCCATAGTAATTATTTTGTGTCTAGGAGACTTTAAATCCTCTAAAGGTGTAATTCCTTTGGTGTTAGCTATGCCTGAACGGCATCTGACAGTCTGGTATAGCCATCTAACTGTGTTTGTAGTGAATTCCTAAGAGACCAACTTAGATGGTGGAAACTAGAGTTCGAATGGCAAAGCCTAGAACGCAAAGGTTTGGAATTTCCGACACTAAAGTCTGGTTTTAATACCAGGGGTGTAGAGATTTCTTCAAAACCACCTCAGTTTGAACTCTGTATGGCAGCCATATAGGTCAAGTTAGCTTTATACGCCTCAATTCTGGATAGCGAATCAACCTAGGCTGTCACCCTGTTGGAGAATAGGAAAAGTTACAAACATTGTTAGGGAGAAAGGTAGTGCCCGTGGTTTTCGCATGAAGATTATACCTTCGTTGAGCATTTAGATGTTTTCGAAGTGCTATTTTTATTTCAGATGTGTAATGAAGCTAGAAATGGTTTAAATTTTTTTTTTCAGTTGTAATTAGGTTTGTAAAAATAAAATAAAAAAACAGACCGCACGTGTGGCCCAAATGGGCACACTAGGGAAGAGTCCACACATAAGCACTCAAGCGAAAGGCCAGGGGGCACGAGCGGCCCAAGCTCAAGAGCACACCACGCAAGCGCCGCTGGAGTGGCCAATATTCACCGCACACGCGACCCACATGGGCGCACGAGCGAAGGCCTAGAACACACGAGTGGCCCAAGCCCAAAGCCATACTACTTCACTGTCACTGGAGCGACCCAATTTCGCCATTGGTCCAGTACATAATTCACCGCACGTGTGGCCCACATGGGCACACGAGCGGCCTGTTTCAAAGAAATATATATATATATATATCATACAGTTTTATTTATTTATTTATTTTTATTTACTTATTTTATATTTCTTCAAAAAAAAAATTGTGGAATTTTTGTTTGTTTATTTATTTATTTTATTTATTTATATTTACTTATTGTATTTTATTTTATTTTTTATTTATAAAAAAAATAAAAATAAAAAAGAAGAAGAAAATAAGTCCTTTTCTTGAAGCCAAACTCTAGACCCACTCTTATCTCTTCCCAACACATTCTCTCTCTACCTCTCCTATTTCTTATCTTTGTTGCTCTCTCTCTCTCTCTCTCTCTAACTGACCAACTCACAAATCCATCAAGCCCCACCATCATCAACCCTTCTTCTTTCAACCTTCACCCCATCTTTTCTTACCACCACCTTCCACCACCGAAGCATCATCATCTCCTCTGATCAGCGACCTTCTGGCAGCCATTTTTTCTAGCGAATCTACATCTTCTCTTCATCTTTTCTTTTCTTCCTACTTTTTGAAGGTAATCATCCTCTTTTTGATTAGATTTATTAGTTTGCACTTGTAATATTAGTACATTGGTAGTTTAATGGTTATTTTTTAGCCTTGTTCATGATCTTCATCCTCACATAAAAAAAATGAAAAATAAAAAAATGCTGCTGGAACCAGAAATCGACCACCGCACGTGTGACAATCTCCGACGCACGTGCAGCCCAAAAAAAATAAAATAAATATAATAATTTAAAAAAAAAAAACACACAACAACAACAACAATAATAATAATATAGCTTGTTACTAATAGTAATATAGTTTGTGGTTGCCTAATTTTGTATAATGTAGTTGTTTAATTTAATTGTTTAGTTAGTGGTTCTTATTTCTTTAACTTCAATTTAATTTAGTAATATAGCTTGTGGTTGCCTATTTTTGTTTAATGTAGTTGTTAGTTAGTGATTTCGTTTTATTTTTATTTAGTGATTTAATTGTTAGTTTAATTGGTTAATGGTTTAGTTTTTGTTTTTATTTTTATTTTATGTATTATTTTATTTTATTTTTTTTTCCTCTACTAACTTATTTATTTATTCCTTGTATTTCATATTTGCGTTTGTCAATTTTCTTCATGCTGAGTGTAAGTTAATTTAGGGTAGTATTCACACAAAAAAAATAAATAAATAATAAATAAAAAATAATAATTCCGATGGAGTGATGACAATGAGGTTTTGAGTGATTTGTGCATGCATGCGCTATTTGATGAGTTCTGATATAATAGGTCCACTTTGGTTGTATTGGTTGTATTATTTTGTGCAGGTATGGCTACATCGTCCTACAGAGCACCCAAACGGCCTTGCAATGCCAACATAGCCACTAGGGATATGCCAACCAACATCTGGGCACACAAATAAATTGCCTCAGACACACCATTTGACATAGCCTTTTTCGAGCACCCTAACCCACTACATGGAGTGTGCAACAACTTGAAGACTGAGGTCTACTGGGCGTTTGCAATGTTACTAAACCAGTCTATCCTCGCATTGTGTGAGTCTTTTATCAGAACATATATATCAGTGATGAGGTCCCGGGAGCCCATCTTTCCATTGTTGATAGGGTGGAGTTAGCGGTCACACCAGCTTCCATTGCTGAGGTTCTAAACTGCTCCATGGACACTATCAATGCAGAGCAGTTTTCAGTGTTCACTTGGTAACTCACAGTCCTGGCATTAGTGACCGAATTCTTTAAGGGGCGACAGGATGATGACAACTGAACCAGTATCCATCAGGCTAACTTACCACGCCGCCTCCTCTTCCTTGATGTGGTTCTCAAATATAATGTCATATCTCTCGGTCACAAGGAAAATCGGCGAGGGGACTTCCTCCACGCCTTGTATCGATTTGATTTTGAGTTTTGGGTCGGCATCCCGTCATTGATCTTTAATCAAATGGCCCATATACTAAACGAAGTCAAATCGCGCAACACCCGAGGTGGTTCTACATGGGTCCTCCCCTTCGCCAACCTCATTACAGCACTTATCAAAGGCCTAGGGACTTATCCACTCAACTCCAATGAGGTTCGGTTTCAGCCACCAACGCTTTATGCTAAAACCCAATGGCGCCAAACCATTGCTCGCCTGCCACGTACACTAGTCCTCCCCGATGCCTCGGGTAATCCTAATGATGTTTCGATAGAGCCCACTGTCGCACCAGCACCACTGTAGACCCGACTTTCTCCGCGCAACCCCCCTTTCAAAGAGGGTGTGAATTGGTCGTCCTATAGTTCGGACTCTTGTCACGGTTCTGAATCTAATCTCACAAAGTGCAATGTGAGACTGATAAACACCAAAGAGTCCAAATCTGGCAATTGGTTTTGAAAAATCAATTTTGAATCAAAAAGCGCCAAACATGGACTGCTTTGCTAGATTACAGAGTCGCCACCTAAATATTTTTATTTTTGAAAAATTTAGGAAACCCTAACTCGTGCCAAAGGCCACGTGTCCGTCATCACCAAAGTTGACTCGGCTCGGGAACTTGAGTACGAGAGGGAAAGGTCATAACATGAGCATCCCCGCTCGACCGATCAAAGATCGGCCTCTACTAACATGATATGTTGTTTTGAAAACATATGTGTTCTTATTCCAGTTATTAGCTAGCTTACTATGTGATGCGCATAGCATACAAGTATAGACTCAATCACAAGAATTGGAACAAAACAACTCATTTTTATTTTTGAAAATGGTTTGAAAATGCTACTCACAAGTAGGCTAAAGCATGGATTTGCCACCCTCAAGTGCGCTTAAAAACATGATTTGCCACTTCGCAAAGTGGGCTTAAAACTCACAGCCATCGAGCTGTTCCAATTCAGGCAATCAAGCCTTCATCCAGAGGCATTTATGCAGTTTATTAGTTAAGCAAATAGCCTCATGGAAAGCATGATAACATGGAAACACTCACACTCATGCAAGGATGCTAAAGCGTAAACACTTACAGTGTACTCCGAGCCAAAACAGAAAACTAGTTAGAAATCATGCATGATCCTAGTTTATGTTAAGATGCCTAATGCAACACATGCAAAATGCAACTAAATAGGCTCGACTATCTAAGATGGCATACGAACGCAACACTTGATAATATGCTTTGAAACATGTATTCAAGTAGGTATTAAAATACAATGCAATTTGAATGATGCGCCGAGCCCAGTGCATGCAAGACAGATGAATGATGCACGTATGCAAGCATAAGGTATGCTAACCAAAATATGCCCTAAACTAACCATCGAAAGCAGATAAATAAAAGGGAGAAAGAAGTGGGGTTGGAAGACATGCACACACGCACGCACCTTTATTACAACATTAATTCACCCTCTCGAAAGAGGGTCCGAATAAACAAGCCAACTAGCTACGCTAATTAAGCTAACTATTATAAACCAACTAATTAACTAATCTAGCTAATTAATTATTACAAACCGAATTGAAACTAGCTATGCTAAGCTAATTAGAATATTGCAGAGATGAATTAAATTAGCTAAGCACATTAACTAATTAATTACAAAACCGATAAATTAACTAGCTAAGTAAAGCGGTAAAAATGGCCTCGAAGGGAAGGAGACATGCATGCTCGGTGTGCTTCGCCCGAAAATGCATTGCCTTGCCATGAGTTGCCTCTGTTTGCACTCGCGGTGATCTCAGAACATCATACTGTGATAACCCTCACCACTGATTAGTGCTAATCTATTATTAAGCATGTTAACTGACTGATTAACCGAAATTCTGAACTGATTGATTGAGTGTATTAGTTTAAATGCATGTCTATCTGTTTGACTGCTAAATTATCTATTCATGTTTTATGTTTTAAACAGTAAATTGAAGGCCTTATTGGCGGCCGAATCTGAAATTGATTAGTGTTTCATGTTAATTAGAATTTATGTGATTTTATGGAATATTTAATTGAAAGTTGATTTGGTATGATTAATTTGGATTAAATAGTGTTGAATTACAATAGTTGGACTTATTTACCTTAGTGCCATTAAGTGGACTTTGCTAGACCAAATGTTTAGTCTTGCTTTACATGTGTTGGCCTCACTTTTCATCATCCTTCTTGGGAGACCAAACGTGAGAGAGAGAGCTAGAGAGTTGGATAAGAGCTTGAGTTCTTTATATTTGCTTGGAGTCTTGAAGATTTTGGA